AAAGGATAGGATTGATGAACATCTAAAACACATGGATTTCAAGATCAGAGACAACATGGGTTTACTTCAGGGAGATCATGCCAAACTAATCTTATTGATTATTTTGATTGGGTAACTAAAATTATAGATCAGGGTGGTGCAGTAGACATTGCTTACCTAGATTTCAGTAAGGCTTTTGACACTGTTGCACATAGAAGGCTTATCAATAAACCGCAATCTTTAAGTTTGGATTCCAATATTGTTGAATGGGTAAGGCAGTGGCTGAGTGACAGGCAACAGAGGGTTGTAGTTAATGGAATATATTCGAAGCTTGGACTTGTCACTAGTGGGGTACCTCAGGGATCTGTACTTGACCCATTCTCTTTAATATTTTTATTAGTGATATTGCAGAAGGTCTTGATGGTAAGGTATGTCTTTTTGCTGATGATACTAAGATATGTAACAGGGTTGATGTTCCAGGAGGGATAAGCCAAATGACAGATGATTTAGGTAAACTAGAAAAATGGTCAGAATTGTGGCAACTGACATTTAATGTGGATAAGTGCAAGATAATGCATCTTGGACGAAAAAACCCAAGGGCAGAGTACAGAATATTTGATAGAGTCCTAACCTCAACAATTGAGGAAAGGGATTTAGGGGTGATTATTTCTGATGACTTAAAGGTAGGCAGACAATGTAATAGAGCAGCAGGAAATGCTAGCAGAATGCTTGGTTGTATAGGGAGAGGTATTAGCAGCAGAAAGAGGGAAGTGCTCATGCCATTGTACAGAACACTGGTGAGACCTCACTTGGAGCATTGTACACAGTACTGGAGACCGTATCTTCAGAAGGATATTGATACCTTAGAGAGGGTTCAGAGAAGGGCTACTAAACTGGTTCATGGATTGCGGGATAAAACTTACCAGGAAAGGTTAAAGGATCTTAACATGTATAGCTTGGAGGAAAGACGAGACAGGGGGGATATGATAGAAACATTTAAATATATAAAGGGAATCAACACAGTAAAGGAGGAGACTATATTTAAAAGAAGAAAACTACCACAACAAAAGGACATAGTTTTAAATTAGAGGGACAAAGGTTTAAAAATAATATCAGGAAGTATTACTTTACTGAGAGGGTAGTGGATGCATGGAATAGCCTTCCAGCTGAAGTGGTAGAGGTTAACACAGCAAAGGAGTTTAAGCATGCATGGGATAGGCATAAGGCTATCCTAACTATAAGATAAGGCTAGGGACTAATGAAAGGTTTTAGAAAATTGGGCAGACTAGATGGGCCGAATGGTTCTTATCTGCCGTCACATTCTATGTTTCTATGTTTCTAACTGGGTAATCCCTAAATCCTGGACTGTTAGGGGGGAACTTGAGGACTGGGTTGGGAACCACTGATCTAATGCAAATGAGTAGGTGTTACACTGCAGGGTTTTGCTCAACAGAGATAATAGAATCTACTAAGCAGGAGTGTCCAACCCTCCTGTAGTTGTTGTGGTGGCACTTATGAAAGCATACTGTCATGGTTATGGTACATAAAGCATTCCTAAACCCATTCCTTAATGCTGCGACACACGCTTGACACCATCTGAACCAAATACGTTTATCTTGGTCTTATCGCACGCCAGGACATGGTTCCAGTAACCCATGTCCTTAGTCTGCTTGTCTTCAGAAAACTATTTGCAGGCTTTCTTGTGCATCATCTTTAGAAGATTCCTTCTTCTGGGACAACAGCCATGCTGACCAATTTAATGCAATGTGCAGCGTATGGTCTGAGCACTGACAGGCTTATCCCCCACCTCTTCAACCTCTGCAACAATACTGGCAGCACTCATACGCAGTGGTGTATCCTGGTTTTGTGCTGCCCTAGGCAGGACAAAACTCAGGCACCCCCCCCGCGCCACCCCCACCCGCGCAACCGCCACCCAACCTTCCCCCCTGCTCCGCCTTCTAAATACACACACACACATTCACTGACAGATACGCATTCACTAGCTAACAGAAACACACAGTCACTAACAGACCCACACTCACACACTCACTAACAGACACACACACTCACAGGCAAACACACACACACACTAACAGACATCCACACTAACAGACATCCACACTAACATTAACACACACACTAACACTAACATACATACACTAACATTAACACACACACTAACATACACACACTAACATACACACACTAACATACACACTAACATACACACTAACATACACACACTAACACTAACATACACACACTAACATACACACTAACATACACACACTAACAGACACACACTAACAGACACACACTAACAGACATCCACACACACACACTAACATACACACACTAACACACACTAACATACACACTAACAGACACAAACACTAACATACACACACTAACAGGCACACTAACATACACACACTAACAGACACACACTAACAGACACACACACTAACAGACACACACTAACAGACATCCACACACACACACTAACATACACACACACACACTAACAGACACACACTAACAGACACACACTAACATACACACACTAAAGGACATCCACACACACTAACATACACACACACACACTAACATACACACACTAACATACATACACACACTAACATACACACTAACAGACATCCACACACACACTAGCAGACATACACACACTCACTAGTGTTTTTTATTTTTTTATTTTTATTTAATCCCCCCCAGCCTCCTTACCTTTGGTAATGCTGGGGGGGGTTCTTCCTCTCCCTGGGGTCCAGTGGCTGCAGGGCGGGCGGGCGGCCAGCGAGGGAGCTCTTCCCCTGAGCGCTCTGCTCAGCTCCCTCGCGCGCCGCCAGCAGAGTGAGGCTGGGAGCCGGAATATGACGTCATCAACCCGGCTCCCAGCCTCACTCTGCTGGCGGCGCGCGAGGGAGCTGAGCAGAGCGCTCAGGGGAAGAGCTCCCTCGGCTGCCGGCCGCCCGCCCGCCCAGCGCTGCAGCCACTGCCGCCCAGCGCCCGGAATGTCTGTTAGCCGCGAGGCTAACAAGACATTTGCCTTGGGCATTTGGGGGGCGGCGTTTTTTGCCGCCCCCTGAAAAATGCCGCCCAAGGCAAATGCCTTGTTTGCCTCGCGGCTAATACGTCCCTGCTCATACGTCTATTTCCCAAAGACAACCTCTGGATATGATGCTGAGCATGTGCACTCAACTTCTTTGGTCGACCTGTTTTAAGTGGAACCTGTCTTGTGAAACCACTGTATGGTCTTGCCCACCGTGCTGCAGCTCAGTTTCAGGGTCTTGGCAATCTTCTTATAGACTAGGCCATCTTTATGTAGAGCAACAATTCTTTTTTCAGATCCTCAGAGTTATTTGCCATGAGGTGCCATGGTGAACTTCCAGTGACCAGTATGAGAAAATGTGAGAGCAATAACACCAAATTTAACATACCTGCTCCCTATTCACACCTGAGACCTTGTAACACTAATGAGTCACATGACACCGGGGAGGGAAATTGGCTAATTGGGCTCAATTTGGACATTTCCATTTAGGGGTGTACTCACTTTTGTTGCTAGCGGTTTAGACATTTATGGCTGTGTGTTGAGTTATTTTGAGGGGACAGCAAATTTACACTGTTCTACAGGCTGTACACTAACTCAATTACATTGTAGCAGAGTGTCATTTCTTCAGTGTTGTCACATGAAGAGATATAATAAAATATTTAGAAAAATTTAAGGGGTGTACTGACTTTTGTGAGATACTATATATATATATATATGTATATATATATATAT